AGTTGGAAAAGCTGGTAATAGCTCCAACATAGTCTTAGGAAATAAGTTAGAAAGGTTGTTAATAGCTCCAACATAGTCTTAGGGAATAAGTTGGAATGTTCTAACATAGACTAAGAAAGATTGTTATAGCATTGAAAATCTTTATATGATCAAGAACAATTTTTTCTAACTTGACTAAGTATTAATTGGATACACCTAGAATGCACACTACTACACTCTATGAATTCTGAATTTGCTAAGTTGAAATTGTATTCCTTGATTTAAGATCATATATGATGTACACATTGCTCCAGTAGTTCTCTGAGGGTGGAAAAATAGAATTAAAGAAAATAGATGATTGATTTCATGATATGTTTTTATGTGATATTGGTGTTAGTTTTAGTAGTCATACATGTTGTTGCTTGATGACAAGCAAGTACAATAACTCTCCAAAAGAATTATATTTTTAATATATTTTTAATATATTTTTTCCTAGGTTAAGCTTGAAATTTAGCATTATTAGGGTCATATTAGGATCATTTTTATATATTTTTCATCATTTGTATCATGGGAGTGATTTGGTGGGAGTTGGCTTGATTTTAATATTTTATGTTGTAAACTAGTACACTGATACTGTGTCATTACTTGAAGTTGTAGGTGACGCTGTGATGTGATGTTGTCGTGTCGATGCTAGAACAACTGGTGATTCAGTAGACAATTATAGAATTTTTTTAGATTCGTACAGTTATCTAATACAGTTGTAAAATGGCTGAAAATATAGGAAAAATCATATTTTTCCTATTACAAGATGCTTTTACTTGTTGGGCTTATAAATAGGGTATGCCTTCACACTTTAAATACTTTTTCTTCAACCTTTATTCATCACCATTTTTATTTTCTTATCTCCATTGCATGGAGGTTTGAATCCACCGAGGAAATATAGCAACAACTAGAGCAGCAATGTCGATGTAGTAGTGGTGACCATTTGGGGTTCAAGCTTATTAGTGTCTTTACTTGAAAGAGGGAAGAAACTTTGTTTGGTTTGAATGTTTTAATTTTGATGGTGTTGTTTGGATTTGAACATAAGGTATTTGATGAAATGTTTACTTTGTGATTTTTACTTAAAACAATATTTTTATGTGCTATGTATGTGATTTTGATGATTTTTAGAGATGAAAATTATTGAGGTTGCATGCTACTTATGTACAGCATCGGTGTTTATGAAAGTAAGCTAGTTTATAGAGATATATGTTGTCGATTATCTATGTTTTATTCACTACTTGATTAATGGAGTTGGTTATCTATGCTACTTGATTTTTAGAGATGCATGCTACTTATGTATGCTACTTTTGATGGTGTTGTTTGGATTTGAGCATAAGGTGTTTGATGAAAAGTTTACTTTATGATTTTTGCTTAAAACAATATTTTTTATGTGCTAGAGCTTTATGCAATATTTTTAGAAATGAAAATATTTTTATGTATGTGATTTTGATGATTTTTAGAGATGAAAATTATTGAGGTTGCATGCTACTTATGTACAACATCAGTGTTTATGAAAGTAAGCTAGTATATAGAGATGTATGTTGTCGATTATCTATGCTTTATTAACTACTTGATTAATGGAGTTGGTGAAAATTAATTTCCACTGATTAAGTGTTTATTTTCTGAACAAGTTATTAAAGTGTTAATCATTGCATGATGCATAACTCTATTGCCACAGCATAATCATATTGTTAACTGCCAAATGAAAACAACATTTACTGGCGTAGTGGTCTATTTGCTCTCCTGATTACTATTGCATTCCCTGCCATCTACCATTTTGTTATATTACATTTGTTGTATTCTTGTTAATATCTCACTTCAACATTATCTTTTTCTATTTGAGACTAACAAGTCTAAGTTAAAATTCTTTGCTCTTTGAACTTAGTAAATTCAGAATTCGTAAAGTACAGTAGTGTGCATGCTAAGTGTATCCAATCAATACTTAGCTAAGTTAGAAAAATTTGTTCTTACTTCGTTAAGGATTTTCAATGCTACAACAATCTGTCTAAATCTATGTTTGAGCATTCCAACTTATTTCCTAAGACTATGTTGGAGCTAATACCAACATTACCCAACTTATTTCCAAAAAATTATGTTGGAGCTATTACCAACTTTTCTAACTTATTCCCTGAATCCTTTTTTTTCTTTTTTTTTTCCTTTCATTTTTTACAAGATTAATTGTATCATCTAATAAAGATATGGGATTTAAAGTCCAAAAATTTCTAACATCTCTATGTATTGAGAACATACACATATAGTGCAAAAAGTTTCTATGATCTCTAATTCTACTAAGTCTCTATAGCATTCCTCTAGCATTTTACATTATAGATTTTTTTTTTCATTGAGCATCATCAAAATTTTCTAAAAGAAAATAAACTTCATTTATTTCCTAATATTAATCTTGCAGCATTACCTATATGCTGTAACAAAATGCTAAAATCATGCAATTAATGTTAAACATGTATTTCTAAAATCAAACACGACATAAGACATAAACTAAAAATACAAGACAGAAACTGGACAACTTATTCCTAAACCTAAGGGATGCATTGTCCTTAATGCATGAAAAAAATAAAATAAAATAAACATGGGAAAATGGACATCAATATTCCCCTAGTTAGGCGTCCTTGGGCTGGTGCTACTAGTAGGCGGGATAACATTACTCATACAACATAGTGACAGTTGTTGGGCAACAACATCGAGAAAAAACTAGTTATGCAACAGATAATGTTGTGGCATTATGCACAGAAAAAGATAAAAAAAATGAAATGACAAGAGAAAAATAACAATATAACCTATTGTCATGAATGACTTATTGAAAGCGAGTAAAAAAATTATTTCACATTGTGAAATTAAAGTTTGTTGCAAATTATCCTGGATCCCAATAAAATGATTCTCCTTTATGTTTACCGATAGTTGTTATGGCCTCATCACAATGCTCTAGGACCTTTGTGCTTGTGGGATCGCAAAATTGTTCACATCAAAACTCTTGCTTGCTGGAATCAGTCATGAATTGCACTTCTTTATTACTACCGTAGAGATGTTGTGGCTTCATGTGGTGAATTTTCGTGGTCGAGCTTCCATTGTCAAAGTTGTGCAAGATCTTCCTTGTTTCTTTCACTACTATTGTATCATTCTGCACTATGCCAATAGTTATAGTTTTCCTCAGGTGCTCATGTTGTGACTTCGTAGTAGACATTAATAGTGCAAAACTATTGTTGATGTCAGGATCAATGTAGAAGAATTGTTTCTCATCTGGTTTGTCTGAGTCTTCTTTTGCTGTAATAATATTAAAGAATTTTTCAATGCTCCCACATTCATCTAATTGTTCTTATACTATTACGTTAACAATATCAATAGCATGACATCCATCTTCTTTATCACATGGCAATGTGTTGAACACATTGAATGTAATTTGTTGGTCATTAAAACACAACATGATTTCTTATTTTTTTTAACATCAATCAATGATCATCCAGTAGTAAGGAATAGTCTCCCAATTATTATGGGCACCATTTTATCGGCTTTGTAATCCAAGACAATGAAATCCACTGGACAGATAAACTGGCCTACTCATACTAACACATTATCAATATTGCCTTTAGGATGAAAGTGAATTAAGTTTCCTAAATAGATAAGTGCATTAAGTTAATGTTGGAGCCTAAGTCACATAAATCCTACCTATGTAGTGATTGTCAATAGTGCAAGGAATAGTAAAACTCCTTGGATCTTTTAATTTTTGTGACAATGGCGCTACACCCTTCAGTAAGTGCAACGGTCTCAAAATCACCAAGCTTTCTCTTCTTGGAGAGAACTTCTCTCATAACCTTAATGTAGTGTGTATTTTGCTCCAAAACTTCTATCAATGGAATGTTGATTGTCAATTGTCGAAGCACATCCATGAATGCCTTGAATTATCTATCCCTATTTACCTTATTGAATCGTTGAGGGAATGATAGAGGTGGCCTTGTCTGTTGCATTGGTGCTGGAGAGACATCTAGTAGTTTGGTAGGGTTTGCTGTAGTAATGGTTGATTACTACACTTTCATGTTTCTCTTGTTGTGCTATTAGCAGCGAGCGTCTCAAGAGCAAATTCCTTATTTTTACCCTTGTTATGTTTGGTAGACCCTTCATTATTGTTCTTGGGCTCCTCAACTGGCTTTCCAATACGGATGCCACTTCTAGTGCTAATGGCCTTGCAATGCTCTTTTCCTTGCCACTTTGGATTTTCAGTATCGCTGGGCAGCATTCTTTGCAGTCTATTGCTCAGGGTATTTGTCATTTGGCCCACTTAATTCTCTAAAGCTCTTAATGATGCTGATTGAGTTGACATATACTCTTTCATTAAGTCTTAAAGAGATGAAAGATTGATAGTTTGTACCGAAGATTGCCCTTGAAAATTATGCCTTTGTTGTTGCTATGAAGCCTGATGCTGAAACTGAGGATGTGGCATCGTTTGCTGCTAATTCTAATACTGTGACTAATTGTATTGCTACATATTATAATGTTGTTGTTATGGATTGGTAATATTTTAACTTTATCAAGATATGTTGGGATGGTTGCGGAAGTTAGCATTATATGTGTTGCCATAGGAATTGTCATTCCTATAGTTTCTCATATAATAAATAAACTCTGAATTTTGAGGGCATTTTTCATAGCTATGGTTTTCACCATAATACACACAAGATAGAGTAGTTTCGGCCTTCACTTCATACATGCCTACTGGCTGTTTTAGCTTCTTAATCATGTCTGTCAATGCTGAAATTTAAGAAGCCATAAAATTGAAAGCACATAATCCACAGCTGTAGCACTTCCTCATGTTGGGGTATTTATAATCATTATTTGATATTCTTTCCAAAATATCATTTGCCTCATTATATGTCTTATCCAATAATGCTTTGTTTGCTGAAGTATCAGCCACCATTCGAGTATGCATATTCAACCCATTATAGAACATTTCCATTTACATCCAATGTCAGAATCTGTGCATTGGACATTTCCGCAACAAGTCCTTGAATCTTTCCCATGCCTCATACAAACTTTCATCTTTTAGTTGCTTGAAAGATGTCAAGACATTTCGCAGCTTTGCATTCATATTTGGTGGATTGAATCGCAACAGAAATTCATGTGCTAGCTCGTTCCAGGATGTCATATAACTAAGGGGAAGTGATGTCAACCAAGCTCTATCATTGGCTTATAGCGAATAAGGGAATAACTTCGTATTTAATGCTTCCAATAGAAATCCTTGCTGAATAAAGGAATCACATATATACATAAATACTTACAAGTGTGCTCGAGGATCTTCAGGAAAAGACCACATTGTCCTATTAACTGCAACATTTGAAACATGATCGAATTCAACTCGAAGTTCACAACATTAATCACTAGTCTCACTATGCTCGGATATCAATCATCGAGTATGGAAACCATGTGCTCTCTAATAGGTCGATGTTGGCCATCCATATTTTAAAATTACTACTGTTTAACTCTATTGCCAACCGACAATTCAACATCATCATCGTGCTGCAGTAGAAGCAGAATTGTTTTCTTGCTATCCATAAATGCTTGATTTTTGGAAGCTTATCTTCTATGTCTTCTAAAGGTTCTTTCTATCTTCGGATAAATAGGTCTAGATTGTCGTCACATAGGGGCATAAACCACTATAACTAAAAATATAAGTACCTACAAAACGAAATAAATAAATAAGTACATAATAAAATAAACTCTCATGTAAAATCGATGCTCCCTAACAACGACGCCAAAAACTTGATGCTACGAAAATGCTATAGTTATTACGCAAGTACACATGTCGTAAACCAAGTATTAAGGTGGTAGCAAACTAAAGCTATAGATGCCGAACCCATAGAGAGCAAAACTTATTTATAAAAGAGTCTAAGTGTAGGAAAATGTATGGTTGAAATGGTAATCTAATAATTAGCAAAGTCAAAAAATTAAAACAATGAAAGTAGGAGAATTATGTAGTAGACAGTAAAACAATCAGACCGATGAACCAATAATGTTGTTGTCATTTGGTTGTTGATAGTATGATTATGTTGTGGCAATACAGTTATGCAACTTGAAATGATTAACAAGTTAATCTCCTTTCAGTAATTAAACACTTAATTAACTAGAATTAATTCTAACCAACTCCATTAATTAAGTAATTAACAAAGCAAGACAATCGACAACATACATATCTATATGTATAAATTTACTCTCTTAAATATTGAAGTTACACATAAATATCAGTGTTATACATAAATAGCAAGATAATCGACAACATGTCAAGATTTGATATATAAAATATTTTCATCTCTAAAAATATAACATAAATCTCCAATACATAACAATATTGTTTCAAGAAAAAATAATAAAATAAATGTTTCATCGAACACCTTATGCTCAAATCCAAATAACATGCAAAAATAATAAAACATCCAAACTAAATAAAGTAGATTATTTTCTCAAGTAACAAAACCAAAATAAAGTTTGAACCCCAATTGGTCACCATTGCTACACGGCTGCTCCTATGTTGTTGTTGCACTCCTCTAGCAAAGACTTAGGTTATCATGGTTGATAAAATTTGGATATGAAGAAATGTTAATAAAAAAGTCTCAAAAGCGTGAAATGAGATCCTATTTATAAGCCGAACAAGTCAATCATCCTTCAATATGAAAGACATGATTTTTCCTATATTTTCTAGCCATTTTACAGATGTATTAGACAGTTTTTTGAATCATAAAAATTACATAACTATCTACTGACTCATCAGTTGCTATAGCATCGACACGGCAATGCCACAACATCTACCTACTAGTTTACAACATAAACCATTAAAATCAACCAAAATTTCATCAACTCACTCCTATAATACAAATGAGATGATCCTATTATAACCCTAAAAATACTAAATTTCAAGCTTAAAATAGGTAAAAAGATCTTAAATAATAACTATTTTGGAGAGTTATCACTGGTATACTCCCCGGTGAATGGCTTATGTGGCCATGGTGATGGTATGAGGGAAAATAAAAGGCAACTGTAAAATTAGAGTTTTTGATGATGAATAAAGTGTGTAGAAAATGTTATATTGATAGAACACATGTAACATCCCGAAATTCAGGGCAGTCAATAAAATGAGAATTTTTTAAATTTAGGGATTAATTTAGGAAAATTAAAAAGTTCAAGGATTTAAATAGAAATATTTTAGTATTTGATTAAAGGGTAAATATGAAAGGGTAGTATGGTAATTTAGCTTAGAGTATATTTTTCTCCTATTTAGGGAGATAACACGTGGGGATGAGGAAAAGATCCAGAAGCTCATTTCTTGCTTTCTTCTTCTTCTTCTCATGTCTCAAGCTCCCAAAAGGTAGGTTGATTTCAACTTTTTAATTCTTGGATTTAAAAATTGGTTTTGGTTATTTGGGTTTTATATAAGCTTAAGGAAAGGTTATATAAGCTTAAATCATCAAGTAGAGAGAATTAGAAAGGAAATTTCATTAAGGGTTAATAAATGAATTCTTGATATAAAGATGTTTTTGAAGTTTTATTGATGAATTTTGACTTGTCATTAACCTAATTAAGGAATATGAAGTGTTATAATTGGATTTAGAACATGTTACAAAGTTGGTGTAATTCTTGAATTTTATATGGATGATAGGATTTTGAGGTTTAAGAGGTGGTAAATGAATATTAATTAGTTTAAGTAGGTGTATGTAAGTTAAGAATATGAAAGAGGATGAAATATGACACAATTGAGCTAGAATGAAGTGATTTTCGTGCTTAAAATTGATTTATGGGCAAGGGTGTATTGATACCCATTCAATAAGTATTGATACACCTCAAGAGTAAAATTCAGGATTATGTTCAAAGTGTACTGATACATAGGCAGTGTATCGATACCCCTTGAAAAGAAGAATTTCGAATGTAATTTGTGTACTAATACATAGGTAGTGTATCGATATCTCAATAAGGAATGTACTGATACCCTATAGTGTGTACAGATACACTTAAAAAGGGAAAACAGAAATAGATCTTTTCTTTAATCTAAGAAATGAAATATTGGAGTATAACAATTGGAATACTGATATGTGTCAATACAAGATTGTGTAGACATCGATCGAAAGCAAAGTTTAGATAGGTCGGCAGAGTAAGATTCGCAAGAAAGAACAAGAGCTTGGTAGTGATCATTGAGACCAGGTGAGTACAAGATATTAAGTGTACGTGATGTTTAGGGAATTAAGACTTGTGATGAGTCTAATTCTGATAATAGATAACATGAGTACAAGAATACAAGCATGGTGTGATATGATGTTTATGAGTACCGAGTATGATCATGTAGTAATATGGTCCTAGATGTATATGAGTAAATGCAGATGTCTAATTGTTGAGTGCATCTTTATATGTATGAATCATGTAAATGCATGTATGTGTGATAATAGGTTAGATGATCATAAGACATAAAATAAATGATAAAAGATATGTGAAAGTGATGACTTATATGTTTTTTTATTAAAATGTTACATGATATGCTATGTATGTTAATTGAATTATGTGATGATATAAAAACATGTATATGCTGTGAGATAAGACCTATGTCTATGAGTAATGTGAAAAAGAATACAAATAAATGTGAAAAGCTATGTGATACGTGAATGTGAATTACATGGAAATATGCTACGTGAAAGTAAATTATTTGCCTATGTGAAAATATGAAATGGTAATAAAGGTAATGCCCATGTCATGTGTTATGAGAGCTTTAGGTATAGTTGGCATGCCAAGAGTCGAGGGTTCAACGTGGTCCTTTGGGACATAGTGGTCCTTCGGGACAAATTTTTACACGCCCCTAGTAGGATTTATATGAGATTTGGTGACAACATTGTGCACAACCTCTATGTACTCACATACCTTTAGTTCTCAAAAGTATACATGGGCTTTAAAGAAAATAAATAACTTACTATGATAATATGTGTTCTTTTGTGAAATGATATTTGTGTTATTTGACGTGTATAAATGATAAGTTCAGAATCATATGATAATATGAATGAGGATAATAATAATGAGTGCATATGTGTAATTGCGATATGAAGTGATATGTGTGAAATATGATAGTAATAAGGTTAAGTGTAAGAATAAATAACTAAAAGGTAGGAATGAATATAATATAAATAATGATATGAGGTTATTGATAATAATAACAGGATCTGTATGGGTGTATCTTTAATTATATGTAATGTTATATTGTTTTGTGTGATAGTATGGTATGATATGTCAATGATGGTTTATATATGAATACGAGTATGATGTTGTGTTACATGAGATATATACATATATATATATATATATACATGCATTTGTTAGTTTACATTGTGTATTTACATGTCTCACTAAGTCTATGACTTAGCGTGTAAGTGTCTTACACGTAGATGTGGATAAGTCAGAAGATCAAGCTTCAGATCAGTAGAGCAGCATATCTCCACTCAAAGATCGGATCAGAAATATTTTGTAAAATATGTCTTGTTATGTAATTTAGTATGTTGGCATGTAACTAGGTCATTAAATATTTACGCCCTGATGGAGTCTGTTAAGGTTTTGAACATGTTTATGTAAAAGAATTACTTTATAGAATAGAAGTTTTAAATTTTTTATGGATTTTTTATATAAATATACATGTTTTGAAAAGTTAATGTGACACATCAGACTCGTATCTGGGTCGGATACGGGTTGGGGGTTTTACATTTAATGGTATCAGAGCTAAGGTTTAGTCGATTCTACGCTTAAACTGAAGTCAAAAGTGTTTTGAAAAAGTATACATGCCAACAAAAAGTGAAAGTTTCTGATCTGATAGACTCATGAGTATGTTGTTTTCTAATAAGGTTATATGGTTATGTATTAGATGTCTGATCGTGAGAGTCCTTGAAGTGAAAGAATAAGTAATAGACCTGAGGTAGTAGCAATTCACCTGCCCTGGCCAGGCAAGGTGAAGAGCGAACACCTCCAGAATTACCAGTGAGAGATCAAGGGTTATTTTTCGGAACATTAAATGCTATTTTGTCACGTTTTCAACCCTCTGCACCCTCAGCTCCTCGA